AATTATTCCCCCTTAGGTTGCTATTAGTAGCAAAAATCTTTTTAAACTTCATCTGCGCTTTAGTTTTATTTTCCTCGCTAAATTTTTTCTTTGCGCATTGTTTTTATCGTTTTAGGCGTGTTTTTCTTGGGTAATTTCTCAAGTTAAATATTCCCTGATGTCCTTTGAAGACACTCCGAGTGTTGCACGTTGATTAGTCCACGTAGGCCAGTATTTTAGCACTGAATGTAGTAAATCGACACGCTTGCGACAGATAAGCGTTTGGCAAATTAAACTAGCAGCGTTTCTGCACATCTTCGTCCTCGTCTTGAAATCGATGCTGGCGAATTGCACCTTCATCTCAAACGTGCCCCAATTGTGTATTTCTGCAGAGCGCGAAATTTATTTGCGCCGTATTCCGATTTGAGCATATTATTTATGCATGAATACACAAAATAGTTTTTATTCCATTTCTACTGCAATACAACATTATCATCTCACTCCTCGTGATAATATATATGAGATATAAATTTTTATTGGAAAAATTTGCTATAACTCCACATTTTGCACCCACGTTTATGATATATCAACAAAATTTTCAATTTTATGATGTTTGCGCTAATATTCTTTAAGGCTTGAAAATTTCACTGCGACTGTTAAAGTCCGAGTCGTAAAATGCGTGCCACTCGTAAAGTAACGCGCATAAAACGCAGAAAACTCTTGCATTCGGGCTGGAAAAAAGTGAAGTTTAAACGGACTCCTAGATCAACACGACGCCAAAGCGAACGTCCGGTTTCAGCTCGGACGCTTTTTCAATCTCTTCTTGCTGTTAGTTTTTGCGCTGGACTTTGGAGACGACTTTTTGCCGGCTAAACTTGTTTCAAGTAGTTCCAGAAAAAGGTAAAAAGTGAGCGGAAGCGAAGAGCCAATGATGCGTTGCATCATTCTTTCTTTTCTAATCCTTTGGTCCTTTCGGAGAGGATATTATCTTTTTTGCTTAGCCGGCATTATTATTTCAATTTTAGGGATAATCTTAACAAAACAAAATTTATGAATCAGAAAATTTGGAGTTTTTACAGAGTAAAACTAATAAATTAATAAAATTACAATAAATTGGTGTAAATAATAAAAATAAATATTTCTCAGGGCTTAGAAACTATTTTTGCTGTAAATATAAGCAAAAAACTTAGAAAAAGGGTATTTTTATACCTATTCTCTTGGTAAGCCTCATCGATCCCTGTTCGAAGGGTAAGACAAGCTTATTTACTTACAATAGACCGATTTTTGTTCTTTTTTCTTAAATTTTTACCATTTTTCATCAAAAAATAAATTTTTACATTAAAATCTTTCATTTTAACTGATTTTATTTCTCTAGGGACCAGATAAAATCTGAATTCTGAATGTCGCAAAAAAGTATCGAGGAAATGCTAATCACATTTGATCGAATTATTCTCACGACGGTGTTAAAAAAAAGAATCGCGCATAATGCGCACCAAAGTCAAGTTTTCGCCCGCAAACACGTCGACGAATTTCTCCCATTTCGGCGCTTATTCCTCGCAATTTTTTTGCTTCCTTAGCAGCATGTGCGGCGTATTTCTTTTTCACTTTTCTTATTCTTCGCCGGGCGCGTTCGTGACTTTATAAAAGTTTGCTTGTTCGGCGTTCGCGTTCGCGCCGAACTTTTTTCGTCGCCGCGCCACAATCACGACGTCTTCTATCTATATCTATCTGGCCGCCATCCGCGACCGACGAACATGATTATATTATCATGAATGGGCGAATAAACGGAATGAATTTACGTGTTCGGGGAAGTGCGCCGAGATGAATCTCGGCGCGGAATATGAGATGGAAAAAATTACGAGTTGGCACGTAGGTGGAAAACTTCAGCGAACGAATGAGGAAAAGTGCGAGTAATAGGAACACGGAAGTAGAAAAGTTAAAAATGTAATTTTATTTTATTTTTTCACGCGAGTTTAGTTTTGGAGAATAACGCCATCTATTAACAAAAAATCAAAGTTGAACTAATGATTAATAGAGGGCGCTGTATACAAAAACATGGCTGTTATTTTACTAAAGATATTGGCATCGTTTCCGTTTGCTTTGCACATTTGAACTTCCGTTTTCGGCACAGGCTACACTATGGTGCCACTAATAAAACACGGAAACATCCCTTGAGACGCATACGCAATCGCGTGGCGTAGCTCAATCCGCTTCTTCCGTTTCCCGTATATCTATCGGGTTTCTATCCCAAACAGACCAATCAATGGTAACATATAAAGTGTTACAAAATACTCAATAATTTTATTTAATAAAAATTTATTTAATTTATTATTAAAATTATTTAAATTGATTTTGTTATTTGAATTAAATATTGAAAAATATTTGATTGTGAATTTTTATTTTGTTGTTAACCTTGAATCGAAGGCTTTTGACAACATTTGTAGGTCTTTGTAGAAGCGTTCGTATTTCTTTACCACGCACACCAATATATCAGGCATTGAGAAGTGAAAACGAAAAAGGACGAGAGTGAAGCCACGTCCTCGAGGGAAATACACGTCTGCGGGGTGTGTATTCCAGCGCGTCGAGGTGTTAAAACCTGAATTATGCATTATTCACATTCGCAGAAACCTCGTGTCCTTCTGGCGGTGTCGCGCTACCTTCGTTGGTTGCTTTGCGTATTTTGATAGTGATGAAAAATAAAATCGCAAAAGGAAATCGTAGCTCACAAGCGCGGAAATTTATATTATTCTATCTTTTGCCTTTGATAGTTCTTTTGAGAAAATATATTCAAACAAATTTGGCTTATAAACATAAAAATCCACTTTTTTTTCTGTTTTTTATTTATTGTGTTAGTGTAGTAAATGTCAATTTTGAAAGCCCTCGAAGGTATTAAATTCAAATACAGTTTGTAATTTTAAAGTTTTTAATTAAAAACGATTTCACGTCTATCCATCTGCGGTCTGATAATGCTTTCACCCCTAAAATTGCAATACACTCAACTGACTCAACAAACTCACTCCTGCATCGCAGCTTAAAGTTTGAAGCCTCAGCAAATCGAAAACAGGCAAGAAAAAAAGTTGAAAACCGCGTATAATAAAAGAAGTAATTTAAAAGTTTTATTCCAAAAAACAAAAAAAACTATGTTTTTATGGTACATTAAGTAACAAGTGGCTAAACAAGGGCATTACAAACGAGATTGATTGAGAGCGAGCGTAGCGCGCGGTTTAGCCACGGTTTATGTATTTCAACTTTTGAATTTTAAATCATCGAATTTTGCTCGCACATTTATACAAACTGTAAGGTTATAAGTACCATGCCGCGCGCCGGCCCATGTGACGCTTCGGTTCATTTCGTGCCCCTTCGATACAAGCAGCAGCAGCGCCTGCTTTGACGTGTTTGACTGACGTCGCATGTCATTTCATACCGCCTTGTGCTGCTCAGTAGGCAAATGCGCATGCGCTTGCTCCGTCCCGTGCATAATTCAAGTACATAATGAATATTATGTACGGCCTGGTCGTCCGTATATAAAATACCACTTTTTGTGTTTAAAAATCGTGGAAAAACTGGCGCTATATGGGTGAAAGTAGAAAAAACTATGTTTTTAAATTATATCGACAATTTTAATCAATAATCTATTCTAATAAATACCAAAATTAATTAATTTAAGCTCCACTTGTTTTTTGTTTACTTGTTATTTATTACACTGCATGAAAACATTGTTTGAGTATTTTTTGACCGTTGCTTACTTTCGTCCACTTTATGTCACACAGAGCGAAATTGTATCGACAAGCGTAATGCACCGTACGTGCCAACAAACAAACCCGCAACGACACAAGTTTATTGCTAAATAAATGACAGCACGACCGCACTGCTCCATCACGACAAAATGGAAGCTCATCCTGCGCGTATTTATTCTGATTATGGTTTGATTTCTGGAAATATGTGTTATTATTCTCTGCACGCGACGCAAATATGTTTCATTGTTGCCGGGTGACAAGCGTGAACGCGCCAGGTAATCATATATCATTTTTAAGAATTACGGGTGCTAAGAATGACGAATGGTGCATACCACGTCAAGGAAAGTAGGAAATATTGGTTTAAACTAAGAAAAATTAAGTAAAAATATTGAAAAGATGTTAAAATGCTTTTTTTTACTTTCATTTTTGAATTTTGAGACATAAAAAGTGGAAATTTAAAAACGGACGGTCAGAATTGTAATTAAAGTTCTTCAGTCATAGGCTTTAGACACGGGATGGAGCTTGCGCCTGCGTAATTGCCTACCATGCAGCACAAGATCATATTACTATACTATTTATTGCTGCTCGTGTCGGTGCAGCACTGCATTTATAACCTTAAATTTTCCAGTAGTGTGCAAGAGAAGATTTACAATACAAAACTTCAAATACAAAAACCTAAACGTAAAAATAGCAATAGCATCACGTGGCTAAACGTTGTAAAACACTCGATTCATTAAACGCTCGCTATGCTCGTGAGAAAAACTCCTTTTTAGTCTTGTGACACTTAATACACTATTAAAGTAAAGAAAACTTACTAAAAAAAATTCAAAAATATTAAAATGTTTTTTTATTGCAATATCTAACATAATATAAACTAGTACAACCCCAGGAATGTTTTAATTAAAAGGTATTTAATTAATAACAGAGTGTGTAAATCGCCACGGACAGCTTAGCAATAACACACAACATAAATCCGAATCCGAATCTGAATATAAATTACATATTTACAAATTACGAATTCAAACATATCGTGTATGTGGGTATTATTATATTACATATTTAATAAATGCCAAAATTGGAAAATGTAGCCAACAATCCAAATAACACATTGGAGTTCATTATATTTATTCGTGCGAAATCTGAGCGCATTCAATTTGATTGTAAATTTATGTATTTCTTTATTCAGTGATTTTACGCGGGTGTTTTTATGATGTTTCATTTTAATTTAAAATTTATACTGTTTCAATTTCGGTGAATGATGTAAGAAAATAATAATGGGCTTACCTTGTAAATGCCAATCAATAGAAGCGCGCTCAGCACGATCATAAAAAGCTGCGTACCGATTATGGCAAAGTAGGCAATTTGCACTCCTGAAACAAAATTTCAATCAAAGTCAATATTTTATGATTACACACTGTTTAAAATGCAAAATTACATTATGTCTGTATATAGAAAAAAATATTTTCTAGAATTCCAACCTAAAATTAAATAGCACCTACCTATTTAACCTAAAATATGCACTATTGTGAATTTAATTAGCATTTGTTAATATAATCAAACTGATTTTGACCAATTCTTTTTTTAAATGTTCGTTAAAGTCCAAGGATGGTTTTTACGGCAAGAAAAATTCGAATAATTGCCGGCAAAACCCTAAAGACAGCCTTTTTCTATTGGATAAAAGTTGGCATTAAAATTCAATCATAGTTATAGTTAAATAGTTGAATCCGAGATGGCGCATTGAAGTGCATTATTAGCAATTCTTTTAATAATTAATTTCTTTAAAATAAAATAGTGAATCTTATTGATATAATTGACACCTACTATGTCTAGAACAAGCGAGTAAAAAACGAATTACTTTTTGATTAAACACTACCGGGACAAAATCGCGGGCAAAAACTATTTAATTAATATTTCATTATAGAATTAAACCGTTTTTAAAAGTAATCAATAATTATTTTGATTATTTTATGATGCAAATCGTTTAAAACACAAAATTTCTTTATATTTGAATCTATATAACAGATTTTCATGATTTCTAACCTTTAATTTAAAAATATTTCATACCTAACCTAAAATATTCACTATCCACAATATTATTTATACATTTACCTATAATTTGTTGACAAAAATAAAACTGCAATAACAAATAAGCATAAATTCCAATCAAAAACGTTATCGTCCTTTTATTGCTGATATTCCAGCGTAATGAAGTTATTCATACATGAAAACATTAATGTGCAGTAATCAACTCGTGCATGGCGCAAGTTTGCATGCAGATAGAACAATGTTCGCTTTTTGTTGTTCGCATTGAATTGGCGTACGTTTGCACTGCATGTTTTATTACGGAGCCTAGCCGCAGCGTCGGAATGACGTTTTTGTCGCGACTCCACACGAGATGTTATTTATGCGTTTTAATTAGCACAATGGCTATAAAACGGAATGAATTATAGACATAATACACTCGCATCTTATTGCTCGACGCAGTGCAGCCGTTGTTCTACTATGCTTATCATGTGCATATTCACTTTAATCACTTGTTTTTCACGTAGAATATAAGCAAACAGTTAATAGTGAATATGTTTTGTTATCAGATGTTTAAAACATATTTTATTGAGTTTAACTAGTAATAAATTCATTTTTTCTACTTCCACCTATAAAGCGCAAGTTTTTCGACGGTTTTTAGACACAAAAAGAGATACTTTATATTCAGACGGCCACGCCGTACATAAAATTCATTATGTTCTTGCATTATGCACGGGACGGAGCAAGCGCCTGCGCACTTGCCTACGGAGCAGCACAAGGCGGTATGAAATGACAAGCGACGTCAGTCAAACACGTCAAAGCAGGCGCTGCTGCTGCTCGTATCGGAAGAGCACGATATGAACCGAAGCGTCACATGGGCCGGCGCACGGCGTGGCACTTATAATCTTATAGTTTGTATAAGTGAGCGAGCAAATTTCAATGATTTAAAATACGAAAGTTGAAATACAAACACTACAACTTGAAATTAAGTGGAAGTAGAAAAAATAGCGTAAGCACCTCGTGGCTAAACGTTGTTAAAGACTCGATTGATTGACCGCTCGATACGCTCACTCTCAATCATATCTCGTGTGTAATGTCCTGTTTAGCCACTTGTTACTTAATATACTATTATTGAGTTTAACTAGTGAAAAATTCATTTTTTTGATAGAAATTGTATTTGAAGTGTTTTTGAGTTGCGGTATAAGTATCGAACATAGTGCATCTCAATGTAAAATAAAAAATTTTAATTTTGTAAATGTTGGAGGAATTATTAATTTTTTACTGAAATTTTATGTTTGTGTGCATGCTAAGGGTTGTTTTAGGGTCGTAAATTAGCATCGCGTGCATGCACAACGTCCATATACGGCGTAAACGTCTCAACTAGCTATTTATATATTGTCGGTTAACGCCTGTCTCGCAAACAGTGAATAAATATGCTTACTTGGTAATAAAGTGAACAACAAGGCAGCTAGTACAGGTTTCTGCCTAATAAAACACAATCTTGCTGCAATATTACTTCCACGAATAAGAAAACACTAATTAAGGCAAAAACTATTAAATTTCATTAAAAAATACTAATACAGTAAATTTAGTTAAAATTTTATTTATTTTAGGATTTAACAAACGTAATTATTACTGAATGTGTGTTTGGTTGCATACTTTTGTATCACTTTTAGCATAAAACTGAAAAACATTTGTTTCGATATGAAAATATCAGATAGACATCCCCAAAGCGCACATAAAACAAGTTGAAATTTCCATTTCTATTTTAGATGCACCACATTGCAAGCAAACCACATCTCTCCTTGATCGCCATCGGCAAAAATGAGAATATGGAAATCCACGCGCGAGCGGAAAACGACTGCACTTTAAGAAACTTGCGCCGTGCCTGAAAGTGCCGGCGGCAACCTGCGCGGAAAACTCGTAAAAATATTATGCTCATGCACACACAACGTCCATAACTCAAGTGCTTCGCATACGAGGCCTCCTGCAAAACAATCAACCACACAATACTACACCGTAGAGAATATCAACATACACGAATTGCTTGCACACTTTGTATAAGTGAGTAAAAAAGGCGCGTGCAGACCGTAGAGAGTTCTATTTTTCTTCTGTATGACAAGCAAAAGGGGCGCAGAGACGGACGGAGTGTGGTGGGTGCGAGGAAAGTACTTTAGTGTTTTAATACGAAGCCGCAGCTACGGCGATGTCGTAAAAGGAGTAAAAAATGCACGCAAACTGCAGCGCAAAAAGTGTGAAGATCGTCTTGTCAGTTATATTTTTTTGTGGGCGTATTTGTGGCTCACTTTTTGTGCTTGTGGCTATAAAATTGCCTTGGACGGAAAGTTGGACCGTCTGTGCAAATATTCAATGCAATAACGGTTGACATTCCACAGAAAGTTTATTTTTAATATTATCGTTATAAGATTGAAAAAAATTGCTTCAGGGAATATTTTTATATTAAAAAAAATCATTTATTTTATTTTTATATATTAAAATCAGGAAAATTATAAATTTTTTATATTTGAGTATTTAAGAGGCGTATTTTTTGCATTGCATATCGAAAACTGCAATTTTTAAGCTTATAAATAAAAACTTCGCAATATTTATAGGAAAAGCTAGCTTTTGCACGCGATTTCGTTTCGATAGTGTTTAATAAAAATATTATTCGTTTTTATTCTCTTGTGTTAGACATAGTATGTGTCAATTCTATCAATAAGATTTGCCATTTTATTTTAAAGAAATTAATTATATAAAAAATTGCTAATAATGCACTTCAGCGCACCATCTCGGATTCAACTATTTAACTATAACTATGATTGAATCTCAATGACAACTTTTATCCTATCGAAAAAGGCAGTCTTTAGGGGTTTCTCGGCAATTATTCGAATTTTTCTCGTTGTAAAAACCATCCCTGGACAACAAACATTTTAATAAAAGAATTGGCCAAATTGGTCGAGGAGTTGTTGTGATATGCGCTTACCAACAGATTTTGCGATTCATTTTTATATTTTAGAATGTTTGTTTATAAACAATTAATATGCAAAATCAAACAACAATAATAATATTATTAGTTAAACAAATAAATAATATTAATATTTTTTTAGTTGAATATCAAAAATATTGTTTTTTGCACTTTTATACACAAAATCGCAATTTGACAACAAAAGAATTGTGAAAATACAATCATTAGTTAATATATTTAATTTCTTACCATAATAAACATCTTCTAAACTTGCGTACTTTTTAATATTCACACCAATACGCCAACTGTATAGAAGTACCACCAGTATCGAAATATTCTGCAAAAATAAAACAAAATTTGTTTGAATTTTTTCGAAACTTGTTTGCGGAATATTCCTGTGCAAACGCAAATGTTGAGGAAGAGGGCAAACAGGCGATATGTATGCAAACATGAAGCAAATGTTGCGAACATTCTGCAAAGTAAAGCAACAACAGAGTTCACTTGTACATAAATGCAAATGTTGATAGTGCGCAATTTTTTTTAGTTTTTCGGTATTTTCCATTTTATATTTTGCCCCGCAGACATTTTCAAGTATTTTCATGTGGAAATATTCGCGAAAAATACTCAAAAACTAACTAAAACTTTATTTTGTAATATTTTTTCACAAAAACGTAAAAAATCGTTTCTATTTGATTGATTGACAGTCAATAGTTGCTTCCTGACGTAAAATCGTAGACGTGAGAGTAAAACGCGCGCGCGCGGACCATCCACTTCGCGTCCATCCAATTTATCTGATTGATGAGCGAACGTGAACATGCACACGTCGAGCGCCGCGAATCAAATAAAGCACTGAACTTGAACACAATTTGCGCTTTTTACGCGTTTCATGTACATCGCAGCGTTTTAATTTAACGCGATACACAATATGCAGGAATTCCACTTACCAGCGTATAAATTGCCGACGTGAGGGCGGCATGGCGGGCGTTCATGAGGCGACATCCTCGCAGAATTGTCACGTGTTCATAGGGATGCAGGATTGTTGACTTCATCATCTCATAACATTTTCTTTACATTTATCTGCAAATCAAACAAATAAAAATTTTATTATTTTTCATTTTTCTATTTTTAGCTTGGAATTGTTATTTTTAACAAGTTTGCCGTTTGTGAAGCATTAGAAAAACATGTAGGACGAGAAAGCTCATGCTGAGTGTTGAGTGGTGAAGGCGCCGGGCAACAACAGCTGGAGATGCGTTAAAGTGGCACATTTGTTTAGACGTGTCGGGAATATTTCAAATAAGTACTTGCATATAACACACGTAAATGTATTCACAGTAAAAACTATTATTTTTTTAATATTTTGCGCCCTAAAGTGAAAAATGTGTTTTAAAGTAAAATTTTATTTTTATTGCTTTTGAATGAAAGCCCGTATCATCAAAGGCAATGAAAATTCTACTTAAATAACGCAGTCTATCAAAAGATAATTGCAAAGTTCAAAGTGTCGAAAAGTCCAAAGTCAAGCGTCGAAACTTCAGTCAACGATTAGAATGAGATGAGCGACGCCCCAAAGATATCACACGAAAGCGTCAAGTGGATAAAAAAAGCGTTTTATTGCTTTTATTTGCCGAACAAGTTTCTCCGCTCAAAAACTCGCATGCTGACAAATCATCGGTGGCAATTTATTTTATTTTACTTTATACACTAACAAAATCACTCAATAAATATCAAAATGTTAAAAGAATGAAAGGTTTTTATACTTCAAGCAAATTATTAAATAAATTTTAATAAAAATGCAAAAAACTCAAAATTATTCAAAGTAAAAGTTAGTACCGCGCATAAAAAGTAACAAGATGATATTATACGCAGGGGACACAAGGGCTGTGTTGTCTTTTGAAAATTTTATGTCATAGTAAATACTGCAGGATGTAATAAAACAACAAATTTGGTTTAGGCAAGGTTATGTTACATTTTACGTTTTATGTGATTCGTCAGGGTAATAAAAAAGATTTTACACGATTTTTAAGTAAAAAACTTTGTTTATAAAGATTAAATAAAGTTCAAATTGTTAAATAAATACTAATTAATTGCTTTGAAGTATTTAAACTAATTTTCAACAATATTTGAATTTGATTTTCGCAAAAGAAAATCATTTCGAGCGCATCAAGTTTCATGCTTCGAAAAGAAACTTAATTAACTTGCCAAAATTACGTCCACTTTATTTTCGAACTCTGCAGGCACATAGAACCCTATTATTAAACCCTTTTGCAACTGAAAGTTGTAAAATGCGTGAAAATATGAAGAAAGTTTAACTTTTGCGATTCTTGATTCAATTATCATCTTTTCTTCTTAAATGAAATGATTTCTAAACTCAATTTAACTAAATTCAAACCATAAAAATACATTTATCCATTTCAAATCATATAATCCTGGCTGATATTAGCATGATCTATCTTTGTATACATAGCACATTGCATCCGAGACGACACGAGTATTTACTCAACATGTTTGCGCAGTTGTGATAGGTGTGAACAAGATGATCGTCTGGTATTTAAGTAAACATAATTAAACTCATGTGTAGATAGTCTCACGACAAATATTTGTGAATAATTTAAGTTTTATTACTTTAACTTGCGTTGAACCTAACCTAATAGAAGCTTATAATCGTTGTGTCAAATGCGCGTCACGCGTTTGAATGCAATCTTGGTAGCGGAGTTGCCGGCGTCACTCCATGATCAAGATGGAATTAATCTGCGAGATTTCGTGCACACATGAAAGTAAAATGGAGTTCACTCAAAAGTATCATCCTTGGTTGCAGGGCCGATCAATTGCCGCAAGGTAAATCCTTCAATATATATTAGAAAACTATAAGTTTACTCACTTGTGACTTGCGAGCGCGCAGAGCGGATGCGGCTCACAATATTTACTTCAGAAATTGTATCGGCGCATCGTATATCCCCATCCGCATCAACAAGACATGTTTAACTTCATTTTTAAAGTTAAAAAAATTTTAATAAAAATTTTAAAGCAGAAAATTTTTTTTTTTTTGCTGTTTTTGTTAATAAAACTTTATTTTTTTGCTAAAATATAATGTAAAATGTAACATTTAAAGTTAAATCTGCTCTTTGGGGTCTTATTTGACATTATATCATTTATTACTTAACAGTTCACGAGGGTTTTCATGAGTTTGCGACAGAGTGAAACAGTAAAGAGACGCAAAACTAATAGATCTCATTCGAAGCGCTTTGTGCATTATTCATGCGATGTTTCTCACTGACGAGTCACCAGGGCATTATAGTTTAAGTTTCGCATTCATTTACAACATTAAATACCAATGTTTCAGACAATTCAAACGCAGATTCCCATTTAAAGCGAATGGAATCATTTGAAACATTCATTAAAACTTTTCAACTCTTATAAATTTATCTACAGTAGAATCCGTTTATTATGACTCCGCTTATATTGACCAACCGGTTATTATGACGTACCTACACTACCAAGTTTGGTTTTCATATAAAATTCTGTATAAAAAAAGTCGGATATAATGACTTCGCTTACAGTGACATGTCGCTTATTATGACCCATTTTTAACAGATTATGTCCGGTTATATTGACCAACATGATTCTTTACACCTCCGGTAATGTTCGTTGATACCCGACGACGTTCGACACGTGGCGAACTTTTTATATTTATTGCTACATTTCTTTTATGATTGTCAAATTACTTTTATGTATTTACTATCGGAAAGACCAAATGCTTAAATAATAAATATAAGCATTCGGACAGCAGTACCTTGACCACGACTTAATCCGTATTTTCCATTATTCCGAATTTGGCGTGGGTTATTCGACAATCTCAATGCTTTTTAAAAAACAAGAACCGCATTAAGCAATCGTTCAATTCAAATGTTTTGAAACCGAAGAGGCTTCGAAAATCACAAGAAAATTAATTAAATGAAAAAACAAAAGCAGAAAAAAATTACAGATTACTTGAAGTAAAAAATACACTTGTATGTGTTATAATGTGCTGATTACGTGCAATTTTGATTTTGATTTAATATGTATGAATATGTACATATTTACATAAAAAAGGGATTTCATTTCACAAAACGCTTTGTATGACGTCCGCTTATTATGACGTGTTTGTCAATTCCCTTCGATGTCATTATAACCGGACTCTACTGTATAATATAAAAATGAATAGCGAAATCTGTTGGTAAGCGCATAACTCAACAACGCCTAGATTCATTTGGCCAATTCTTTTTTTAGAATGTTTGTTAAAGTCCAAGGATGGTTTTGACGGCAAGAAAAATCGAATAATTGCCGGGAAAACCCTAAAAACAGCCGTTTTCTATAGGATAAAAGTTGACATTGAGATTCTATTATAGTTATAGTTAAATAGTTGAATCCGAGATGGCGCGCTGAAGTGCATTATTAGCAATTCTTTATATAATTAATTTCTGTACAATAAAATTGCAAATCTTATTGATAGAATTGACACATACTATGTTTAGAACACGAGAGTAAAAACGAATTACATTTTTATTAAACACTACCGGAACGAAGTCGCGGGCAAAACTAGTTTTCTAGAAAATTATCGGTATAAAAATATAAAATCAATAAATAAATAGCTGAGTTATGATGCAATATACAATTAATAAGTTACTTATTCGAAAATCAATTGGACGTGAATAATCGCCGTCCGAGTCTAAGCGTTTGCACAATTTATGCAAATTTTTCGATTGTCCCCGCATCTCCTCCTCTCATTCAGCGATCAATTCAATGTTCGGCATTCGTCCGTTGTTCGCACATTAATTCGACTTAGCAAACTAAACGTATTACCGAAGTTTGCGCGCCGCCCGTCGCAGACGTAAGCGCGACTTTATTAGTTTGCCGTCCCCGCCGCCTCCACCCACGCGATAACACTATAACTTCAGTGCGCCTGACATTGAATGTATTATTAGTTTGCGCTGCCAATCACCTGAATTATGTCACGGTGCTTTTATGAACGCAAACAACTGCAAAATCAAAGGACGCATTACATCCACTATTAATAAGTTCGCTGGGTTGCAGACGTTACACGAATCAATAAAATTCCCCAACCTATTTCTAAAGCTTTCTAATAATAATAATAATATTATAATACGAGTAATTTAATCAGACGTCAAATTAATCTTCATTCAAACGCAGCTTTAATTAGTTTAATATCGTCGCGTCACGTGATTGGCGTATCGATTTGGTGCGAGTTTTGATATGAAACGCAATCAAAAAGTAATTAAAATTATTTCCGCCGGCTAGGTAATAAAATTCGCATGGCGATGAAACACGATAAATACTATAGTTGCCGAACTAATCGGATCTGTGTTTTGCGTTTTATTTATTTACTGTATAATTAAAATTTAATTACGAAACGTAAAATTTTGTTTTACCTCTCATTGTGTATTTGCGTGCGGCAGAATTACAATGGAATATAGAATAATGAGTAATAATTAATATTTAGTAAATAAATATACGAATAGAATTATTAATTATGCATTGTTTTAATTATTACCATTTTGGTGCAATAGGAAATATTTATTTTATTATTATATTACTCTAATTTATTCCCAGAAAATTTAAAAATTAAACTTTCGCTGTTTGTCGCAGTGTGGCGCTAGTGTCGTGTCAATTACGTCAATAGCATTGAAATATAGACTAATGAGTAATATTTAATATTTATTTTATTATTATATTACTCTATTTCATCTCCAGAAAATATTGTTAATTTTAATTTCGTTTTTAGTCACTGTGTGGCGCTACTGTCGCGTCAAGTACGTTAATAACTTTGCATCAAAATCTACAACTTTTATTTACTTTTTCTTATAAATTAACCAAAAAATCTACTTTAAATTGATTAAATTTATACATTTGTTCAATATTTACAAACATTTTAATGAAATTATCAAAATTATGCTTTTTATTGCAGAAAAACGAACATGAAAGATTTTTTTCAAAAAAAAAACATAAATTTACTATAAAATTAGTCAAGTATAGATCAAATTTATTTATTTTTAATATATTACCCTAATTTATCTCCAGAAAAT